AAAGAAGAAAAAGGTTTGAATATGGAGGGTGATAATGGTTGTACAGCAATGTGAATGTACTTAATGCCATACTTAAAAATATTAAAATAATACATTTTACCTTTTGTACATCATATCACAATTGAAAAAAACTTTTTTTGATTAAATCATAGAGCTCTGGAACTATAGCAAATGAAATTCCTATTTATCTGCAATTTTATAATGAATTATGTAGGATGGGCCAGGGATTCCTGTAGGTAATGCTGTTTTGGATTCTTGAGTACTAATCTCAATCAGGTGTTTCTAATTGTACACTATAGCACCTTGTGGAAGAAATACAATACAATATGTGTATAAAACAGAAATGGTATCCAAAAGAGCTCTGTAGTTAAAAATAAGATATTTCTATTTGGGAGATCAAGGGATATAATGGGAAAGGGTAATGGAATTTGGAAATTTTGGAAAAAGTATACTTATCATGTCCAGCTACCAATTTGCTCATCTGTAAAATGGGTATAATTTTCACCATTGAATATTAAAGAGGAGAATATATGTAGCTTCATAGGACAGAATAGAAGTCAGTAAGTGTTCATATTTTTTTCTTTCCTATATAAGTAGTCTAAAAACTAGTTATTAGACTGGATGGAAAAGGAAAGTTTTCTCAATTCTTTGGTAATCCTAAGATTTTAGGCAATTTAGCCAGTTACCTCATAGGCAATGCGTAAGTGGCCTTTGAGTGGCATTTTATATATCTTCATTTTAAGAAATTCCCAAAATTTCAGTAAAATAGTTCTACTGACCCAACCACCTTTTCCTAAACACCCCTGCACAGTTGAACTACTTTTGAAAGTTCCTTTCTTACTGTGCCAATTATCAGGTAGAGAGTCTGAGCAACTGTACCTGTTTCCATGCAAGCAAAAGGAGGTAATAACTATCCCAATCTCACTGAATTGTCACAAAGGTTAAAGACAGTAACTCATGGAGAGTGCTTAGAACATTAACTGGCGTGTGGTAAACACTGAATGAGTGTTAGCTCTAAGCCATGCTATTATTCTTCCCACTACCACTACTATATTTCAGTCTTTCTAAAATAATGTTTTCAAGGAACTTTTGGTATTTGTTGACTCTAGTTCAAGAGCAATAATTTTCCCACATTACCCCCATGGCATTTAACTTGTAGTCACTTTTATAGAGCATTCACCCGTGAGCTTTTTCATAGTAGCTTTACATATATTTTCCTTTCTTAGATTGCTGTCTTTCTGTCCTTCTGGAGCTGGCTTTACTGCTCTGCACATGGTAAGCTTCTAAACCTACTTATAGGGTGAATGTTAGGTGGACAAAATAGTGTCTCTATGCTGAGATTCAAGTCACCCAATTACACTGCTCAGCGGTAGTATAACGACAGCCTGGGCCAGTGCATGGAGACCTTCATGGGAGCCCACAGGGACTTTTCTCAAAGTAAGAGGACAAGACAAGGAAAAGGAAAACAGTGAAAGAAATCCGAACTATCTTTTAATAACCATTCTGCAATCCTTCAGTGACCAGGCGCTTATGTGTTGGGATGAGCAATCACATATCAATAATAAAAAAAGTCTAGAGGAACAGTTCCTCAGAACTAGTCTAGTTCGCAGTGATTTTTTAAAGCAAGTATATTTTTCTAGTGGAGGGTACATGTGCACATGTGGTGTGTGGAACACTGATTTTCTTGGAGGAAAGTGAGCAGCAGCAATATAATACCTTATCACATTACTAAGAGATAAATTCCTGTTTCCCCCCTCAGGGCAGTTTGTTGCACATTTTCAGTTATTTCCCCTATTTTCCCAATGATCCATCCAAGGCAGCCCTCCCCTGACTCCCACTCTGCTCTCCCAGCAGAGTCCCCTGTGCTCCTCCAGAGTCCCCGTGTGACTTCATTGCAGCCATGAAGCATCGACTGCTAACAGTGTTCTTGACCTTGCTTAACTTCTGCTTCCCTTTGATAACAAGAATGTCACTCCTCCCAAGGTTACTATGATAACTTCTCTTCCGGTGTGTGTGTATGTGTGTGTGTGTGGGGTCCTGTTTCCATCTCTGTCTCTGTACCTCCTTCCAGTCTTACGCATATGCAGATGAGATGACATTTTTCTCATTTTACTGGCTATCATGTGTAGGATGAAATGAAGACTGTCTTTTCTAAATTGTGAAATATCAGAATACTGAATAGACTTTTTAAAGCTGAGCTGCCTAATCTCTCCTTTTCCACCCCCGCCCTCTGAAAGATCATAAACTCTGCAATGATGGACTCAGTAAATTGCTTGTAAATAAGCAGAAGGTGGATAAATCTTTCCAATTAGCACAGAATTACCCATAGCCCCTTTTCAAATTTTTAGCATCCTGGGGGGAGTTGGCTTGCTATAGAAGGAAAGGTCAGCTGTGCTCTACCACAGTCTATTCATCGCATATTTCATGTATTTGTTCTTCTAACTCTCACAGCCAGAGGTGGAGAGAGGACTGCAGCCCTGCTGTGGAAGAGCTTGGGAGAGTCTTAGGAAGGCCTTCAGCCAAGTCCCTCCCACTGCTCCAGGCTTGCCTTATATTTTTTTCCTCCCCTTTGAAGGAGAATTGAAGAATAACCATTCATATAAATCCAAGCCAAATAAAATGCATGTATTTTTAGAATAGGCTTCCATGAACATCTCAAACCTCTAACGAATAATGTATTATGTGTGTTTGTGTTCTCACTTTCAAGATGTATATACATTGCTCTGAACCAATTCAGTAGAGAGGGTGTATGTACCATGTTATTAAAGCTCCACAAAGGTCTGGTTTAAGGTCTGCTTCCTGGCTGTAAAGGCATTAGCATTGCAGAGGGACCACAGGATAACTGGAGGTGTTATATGAAACTATGCTGTGGAAATATAATTACCTCAATCCCACCCTTTGCACATCATATACTTTGACCCTCCTGGAATGAATAATAACTTCTTTCTATTTCCTTAAACCAAAGACCTCAGCTGCCATTCTGACCCTATTAGACTCTGACACTATGACAAATTTAACTCACTATAGGACATTCTTTCTGGTTGGAAGGATATAGACAGAGATACAGCAACATTAAGTAAAATAGCACGATGAAAGTATGATTCTGAGAAGTATTTCCAAATAGGGGTTTCTTTTAGTCCAGTCAGCTCTATATTTTATAATAATATTAAAGTCACTTAAGATGTAACATTTATACTATGTCACGCACTGTGCTAATCACTCTATCTAGATTTTTAAAATCTAATTTAATCACAGTAATTATATCAAGTGAGTAGTAGACATCAAATAAGTTCTCTAAGTCCTTGTTTTTTCATCTGAAATTTGGGTATCTGTAACTTGGTCAAGAAATGGGTAAGTTAAACATCTAAAGTACTCTGCTTGCCACCTTTCCATTATTTCCCTGAACATATGATTATATAAGAAGTTGTCAGAGTCTCCTGTAATAAATTCAAGTTTCTTTACAAATCAAATAATTATTTTCTTCCTTTTCATGAAATGAGAGTTAAAAAGTTATGTGTGTGTGTTTTTAGAATTAGTAAATAAAAATACAGGTTGCTCAGATAAGTTGAATGTCAGATAAACAATAATTTTTTTTTGTATAAGTGCACCCCATGCAATATTTGAGACATTGTCAAAATTTAATTTGTTGTTGATCTGAAGTTCAAGTTAATTGGACATTTTGTATTGGATCTGCTCACCCTACCTTAAGTCAAGAATTTCATTCAGGGACTTTTCATGCTTAAGGCAACAGGTGGTGATACTGCTTCCTGGGGAAGAATTCCAGGGTTCTGTAGAAGCAATACCTTTCATTTCTGGAGTGTCTTCTAGTTCAGCTTCTCCCCATGACTGGGTATTATAGAGTTGGCCAGAAAACAGCCTTCAGCTTTCTCATGGAGGGTACATTTTGCACTACAGTGGGAGGTTGGTTTGCTTTGGCCCTACCCACTTTCCCATTCTGGAGGGAATGGGTAGGACTCACTCCTGGAGAAAGACCATCTTCATGATCTTTATTTTATCAATAATAATGAAAACTACAGTTATACTAACAATTAGTAGAATTAACAGTAAGTAATCCACATTTCAATGTTAGAAATGATGCCAAAACACATGACTGCTTTTGTCTTATAGTACTGTAACCATAGCTAGAGTGTGTGTGTGTGTGTGTATGTGTTTTGTTAGGTCAATTGCTCCTTCCTTTCCCATGAACTTAGGAGACTTCATTTTCCTCCTACTTAGCATCTCCCACGCACTAGACATGCTGTTGTCATTTTCGGCTCATGGGGCTCTTAAATCACTTACTTTAGATTTATCCTCCTTCACCCAATTTCCATACGCTTTCAACACAAAAACTATTGTAAAGTAGCCAAACAGCAGCTCTGGTATTATTGGCACCTCCGGGTCATTTTTTATTTTTTGGATGGGGCTTGATTTTCTTCCTAATTTCTTGCTTCTGAAATATAATGATTCCTGTCCATTTAAGATATCTGCTCTGCAGCTTCCTAACAGCTTCTTTCTTGAAGGAGCCTTGGGTGCTCCCTCCTATTGCAGAGGACTTTTGTTTAATTTGTGACAAAAGGACTGGTCCTGCCTTATTGTTCCCGCTGTCTTAACATCCCAGACACTTAGGAAGTCAGTGACAGCGCACACACAGAAGTGTGGCTTGACAAAAATAACTCTTCTGAGACATGCAAGTGGCAAAAGTCACAGGTGTGCGAGCAGCCCCAGTTGAGCCCCTGGACTGCCTGAGCTGACGCGGGACACGTGCACTTCTGCCAGCTTGAAGTGACAAATTCCAAAGCCTGCACGCTCAGCTCACAATATCCAAATCCAACTCGCAAAGTAAAACTATTTTAGGTTTCTGGACAGACCTAGTTAGGCAAAACTCTCAAAGAGGGTGGGGGAGGCGGGTAGGGGGAGTATGAGAGAGGGACCCCGAGCATGACACATACAGCCCTGGGCACTGAGGTGCCCCAGAAGGGTGACAATGGCAGACACTGTACCTCAGCGGCAGGCGGCAGGTTTCCGGGAGCAGAGTGGGGCTCGCTGGTCTCAGACGGGTCTTGTCTGCCTATGGCTGAGCTCCCTTCAATGTCAAAAGCAAAAGCATTGTCGTCCCCAGATGCCGGGCTGGAGCAGACAGCGCCCCAGAGGAGCCCCAGAGGCAGAAGTGAGCACCAGGCTGAGCTCAGAGCCATGTCCCCGCCGAAAGGTTTTTCCAGGCTTTGGCTCACTGTTCGCCCTCTTCGGCCCCGCCAGCGGTGCGGCTGTGCTTCGCTTGTTTTACCTTCTCGGTGCCTGCAGTATCCAGATGTGGGAGGGAACTCCAGAAAGCCCAGAGCAACTTAGTGTAAAAAGGGAGAGTGAGAGAGTCAGTGAGTGTCTCTCTCTCTCTCTCTCTCTCTCTCTCTCTCTCTCTCTCTCTCTCTCTCTCTCTCTCTCTCCAACCCCTACTTTCCCCTCCCTCTCTCCTCTCTCTGGCTCAAGAATATACAGATGGATGGAACTTAAAGCTGATCATCAAAGGCAGAAAGGGCTGGGCGAGCCCGCGAGCACGGTCACCCTCTTTCCCGGGGCGGGTCTGCACTGTCTGGCTTCCTTCCCACACCCATCTCACCACTCCCTTTATACCTTCCACTTCCAGCCCCTCCCAGTCCAGCCCGGTCTTGCAGACTGCAGGGCTGGCCCTTTTTTTTTGGCGTCTCCTCTCCTCTGAGTTGGGAACTCCTCCAAGGACCCCAGATGAATAGTCAACGTTGTGATTGCTTCCTCACAGATCTTATTCATTTAGCAAAGGTGCCAGATGTCTTATCTATATTTATATAGATATTTTCTGTGGCCCTGGGTAGTTTGCAGGAAAGTGGGTGGAAAAGGGATTCTAGGGGGCTGGAGCCAGAGATCAGTGATCTCAGATGACAGTGGGGAGAGCACCCACTTTCAGGAGCCAAGTTTCTCACTCTCTAGGGATGGGTGACTGCTCTCTATGCTAATGTCTTCTTTTGAGACTGGTTGGCCATCTCTCTTCCTCTCCACTGTCCTCACCCAGAGGGGCTGGGAGAAGAATATCTTTCAATACAGTGCTGGAAAATTACTTCATTACTCAAATGCATGAACTTTTATTTACAAAGAACATCTTGTTTTCATCCTAAAGAGGTGCTTTGTAAGGGACCCGGAACAAGGCTTGCAGTGTATGAGCATGTCAAATATACAGCCCACAGCCTCGACCGACCTCTTCCTCTTAGCCTGTAATTTCATGCCTACTACATCTGTCTAAGTCATGTAACCTTTCCAATACTTTGGGGGCAAAGTTGGGCTACAATTATGCTGGGGTGCTCTAGTGCTTAGTCAGGGGAAGCTACAACTGATAAGTACTCTGCTTCAGTTTTATTATGGAGCTTTAAATATGCCCCCTAGACCCAAGTAGAGGGTAAAAAGGACTAGATAAGACAATCATAAGATGAGACCCAAGTAAGTTTTGAGGTGTTTGAAATCAGGCAATTATGTAATAAAACATTTTCATAAAGCCTAATTGTTAACTATTTCTTTAGGATATATAATTCTATCTAAGGATAAACAAAACAACCATTATTATACCTACCATACTTATGTTACATTTACTTTATATATGTTATTTTAAGTCTGACAGCATTCCTGTAAAGTAGGATCCTTTCCTTTTGGCAGAAGAAGAAAGGGAGGTTCCGAGAGACTGAGATGTTTGCTCAATGTCACACAGCTGGTAGGAAGCAGAGCTGATTTTTGAATCTGTATCTCACTGATTCTAAAAACTACCTTTTACATCTATACCACTCGAACCTCATGATATAAAGCCACAAATTTGGAGACAGTAGAGATGGCACTCCCATTTTTTTTTTTTTAGTAGCTTCTGTGTCCAAAAACTTGTATAAATGATCTCATTTAATTTCACCTTCATTATAATCAAATGGGATAGTTACTGTTACACACATTTGGTGATGGGTAAGTGGGAGAAGTGCTTGTGGGCTCAGGTAAATCTGATGTTAAGTTTGCTGATTTTAAAGGATAAATTGGTATGTGTGATACAAAAGGCCAATGCTGGAAAAAGCAAAAAGTTCCCATATAGTCCAAAGTATATATAATATTTTCATTTAAGAAATAAAAAGTTTTGCAATGAACCATTTAGCTAAATTATGATCATTTTATTCCATATAAATAAGTTATCCACTATATTAAGTGGTAGAATTTAAAAATATATATTTGTTTGGCTTGGTTGGTTTTTAGAGACACTTATATTGGGATCTAAGATATCCAGACTCTGAAGAGTAAACAATGATGCCTGAGTATCCTGCTCTACTCTTCCTTTAAAAGAACTTCAAAAAGTAATAAATACTGGGCTTCCCTGGTGGCTCAAAGGGTTAAGACGCAACCTATGAAGCTGTCTGGAGCCTCTGCAGCACGTTTTATCCCCGGCAGGCCAGGGAGCAACACACATGGCACAGCAGACTTCTCCTGACTCACCCTTGCTCCCCTCAGCAGTGTACTTCAGTCAGTCTGCCTGTTCTGCTCCCCACTCTGTCTCTGGTGAATCCTCTCACCCCCCACACCTCTGGCCTGTACCCCAGCTCTAGTATGCATAAATGAATAAATCTTTTTAAAAAAGTAATAAATACTACTACTAATCATTATTATTATAATAATAATTGTATACATCATATTCTCCTTCAGATTTAGAACTTTCTAGCGCACAAAAACTGCTCACATTTGTTTTTTGAAGTAGTGCAACCTGTTCTTCATTAGCTGTCAATCACACACCTTTTATTTGATCCAGGACCTTTTTTCTGGCTCCCTCAGGATATGTTCAGGTTCTATGAGAGGACTGAGCAACGGGAGGAGGAATTATAATTGTCCAAGTCCTATGGATTTTAAATTTTTAATTAAATATGTGCTTCTGAATCATCCCTCTCATCATCTTTCTGAAGATACTATTATTACTTTAAAGGAAAAACAGCATAATAGATGGTATCATGGATTTTGTATGAAATAAAATAGGGTTTGGTCCTAGTTTTGTTTATTGTAGTTCTGGGAGCTTGATACATAACTTAGTCTCTGTGAATGTAAACAATTTCCTCATCTGTAAAATGGGGATAATGCAATGGCCAAGCTATGGAAACAGACTAAGTATCCCAAAACAGATGAGTGGATGAAGAAGGTGTGGTATATATGCATAATGGAATACTACTCAGCAATCAAGAAAGATAAACTCATGCCATTTGCACAATATGGATGGAGCTGAAAGGGCTTATGCTAAGTGAAAAGTCAGAAGGAGAAATAGGGGATGGTATGTGGAATACAGAGAAACCAAACAATGTGTCAGATAAAGCCAAACTTAAAAACTAACCCTTGAAACTGACTATAAGATGAGAGCTAAGCAGGAAGGGAGTAGAGTGGGTAGTAGGTAATCTGAGCGGGGAGATCCTGCACTTCCAAAATACAAACAACATTGTAAGTCAATGTTACCTCAATAATAATTTTTTTAAATATGGGGATAATGATGTTTCTTTCGCTGAGTTACTATGAGTAGTAAATGAAATAATACTAAAAAAGAAACATAGCTTGGCACATCACACTCAACATATATTATTTATCCTGTATTTTTTTAAAAGCTTAAAAAATAGAATAACTATTTTTAAAGAAGAAAAATAGCCACCTGTGTTTATCCTGTGGCTTGGGTAAGCTCCTGTTTGCTGAAAATAGTGGCACACATTTCTGACTAAAACTTGGGTCTTCCCTGCATTAACCATAAATCATAGAGCAAGGAGGGAAGGTGTGCAAGGAGAGCACGGCTTACTATTTTTCAGCAACTTACAAGGCAGTAGAACAAAGGGAATCATCTCTTCACCAAAAGGCCACCCCCAGACCATCAAAGGGTTCAGTGTGGGAGGATTATTTTTCTGCTAAAACTGCAATTGGGGAGTGTCTCCTGGGTGGCTGCTTTCTTATCACAACCCTCCCTCTCTCCATCTCCTGAGATGGGGCTGGGCTTTCACCAAGTACTTTCATGTCCATTATCTCCTTTGGGACTATCATTTACCCCGTGATCAAAGAAGTGCCGTTCCATCGATCCCCAATGCACAGAAGACGGCACTGATGTTCAGAGAGGTTCAGAGGGCTTGGGCCCTAAGCCAGTTAATATAAAATGAGGGCCCCACACTTTCTGATGCCCAGACCAATGTTTTCCCAACTAAACTAAGCTATGTTTAGTTCTGGTGGCTGCAGATCTAGTGGTTTGGAAGCTTTATCTGAAGAAGGTTTTGGAATTCCCTTCTGAGTCCCCTAATACATTTATCAGCAGATAAATATCAGGGCTGCCCACTCCCTTCAGCACTTGGCTGTTGGGCCTGTCCTCAGCATCCAAGTCCCTGGTGAGGGTGTTGCTAATGCATCCCATGTGCCCTTCTGTAAATAGAAAGTCATGTCAGAAGCTATTTTGAAATTTTAGGTGCTAATCTTGACATAACTTAGAGTTGTGGGGACTGTGTACTAGTGAAAATAATTTTGTGATGAGATTGGTCAGAAAAGCAAACATAAGCTATTCCCGGCCTTGAGGTCTCTATCTTACAATCAAGTGGCAGGAACATAAGGTAGAAGATGGTGTCTTTTCTTTTGCCCATACTACTCTCTACTCAGGCCTGCTTCTCTGTACATGACTTTGGTGAACGTTCGTTCAGGCTGTCTGAAGAAAAGCAATAAGCAAGAGTGTTAGAAAAGAACAGGATATTCTAAAAATTGTTCTTTCTGCTGTTAGTTTTCTCAGGATTTTGTTCAGAATGTGGCTAGTATGTGCCATCTATGCTTACCCTCCTGCCTATAATACTTGTCACAGCCTCATTGGGCTTTTAACACATGCCACCTTCATTCTTTCCACCCATTTATCCATCCATCCATCCATCCATCCATCCATCCATCCCACCCACCTGTTCATAAGTTTATTCACATATTTAATCAGCATTTATTGAACATCTCAGTATGGAAGATTAGAAGTTGAGGATAAAATGATAAAAACATGATTCAAACCATCAAGGAGTTCAGAGTCTAGAAGGACAGACTATAAGTAAACCCTGTCAGGAAAATACAGAGATCAATAGGAGTTCAAAGGGAAAGTCTAGACAGGCTGCTAATAAAACATAGAGTAAGCCTATACCTGGAACACCTAGGGGATGTCAAGGTAAGCTCCAGAAAAAGGGGCCACTGTGCTGAATCTCAGAGGCACAAATGATTCAGAGATCACAATGATTCAGAGATCAGATACCACCAGAGGGGTGAGAAAGATTTATGATCTCCAGTGGCTCTTTGAGCCCC